TCATTTGTTGCACAATTCGTTACAGTCTATTTTGCAGAAAAAATGAGTGTTCTCCACATTGTAAATTACAGTGAATGCATGTATTTTGAGTCTTGCGATCTTTATTTTTGATCAATTTACAGGTGTGTAAATGGCCGAAAACATTTATTGTGATTAAAGTTATTCCAAGCTGATCTTGTTCTTAGTGCCAATAATTGTGGNGTGTATACATTGAATATTTCTGTTTCTCACTTGAATTATTTTTTTACACGTTTATGTTTACAGTAGCCTCGAAAATCTTAAGATCAGCTTATGACTTTTGTTTCTTTCACGTAATAGTTTATAATGTTGAATAGTCTAACCTGTAATCGGTGAAAAAATAATAACGGAATAGATTCTGGCAGAGAGCCGGCTTATAAATGTACTATTCACCAACTAACCCACACTACTAAAGGTGAGACTTAGGAAAACAATATACATCAAACTTCTCTAAAGCGAAACCTGCCTTAGCAGAAAAAATTACTTTTAATGGGCGATTTATAATAGTTCTATAAATTTTAAAAATAAATTTTTCAGAATTGAAAAATTTGCGAATAATTTCCATTATATTTCACAACTACATCAATTATAAATAAATTATTCTTGCCAAATTTCAAAATTTATAACGTATTGGAAATTATAAATCAAAAAGCGAAAAATTCATGTTCCACTTTCTGAATTAAACGACAAAATGACTACGTGGTGGTAAAATATGATACAATTTGTTTTTAATTAAAAATTTAGTTTATTCTATCACTATTACATTTCATTTTGTATAACATTTAAATTGGGATACTCTCTGTTCTACCATGCTGATAAATTGAAATGATGGTGTAAAGATCTCTAATCGTAAAAAATCGCTGTTTAATATCTAACAAACAATTAGTTTAACGGTTCCGATTGAACACCGGTCACGTCCTGCCCGTCTAACTGACACGAACAAAAGACATTTCGGAATCCGCGCCAACACGTAAGCTGTAACCTGATCGGTTTTCACACTTTCAAAATCAACTAACCCAACAGATGGCCTTAACTGTATCAACGCCTTTATAATATACAAAATATATTTAATTTGATAATGTTTGAAAATGTTTAAAAAGTTATTAAATGTTATCAAATTAATATTTACATAAATATGGATTTATTGATATTTATGCTATAACTATTCTTTTAATCACTAGAAACATATTTTTATAATGTAAAGCGCATTACGTCTCTTACCTATTTCACTGTTATAACCGGATTTACTCCAACGATTAAAAGATTTTGTGTTATTTCTTGAATTTTCATAAGTATTTATCTGAAACAACACAAAAATCATTATCACACAAGTTAAATTTTACAGAAGAATAAGTAAAACGAATACTTAAACCGAAACATTAAACTGCGTTTAATCGATAAATTCCTTAAAAATAATAATATTTCATCTGCATTAGTCTTGATTGTATTATAAAAATTCGTTCATTTAATTAAAATCTGGAGCATCCTCATACCAAAAAAAATCACGTGAAAATGACAGCTTCTAAGGTGCCGTCCATAAATTACGTAAGGTATTTTGGGGTAGGTGGGGTCAAGAATTTCTTTCTCAGGGATAGGGGGATAATAGATCTTATTTTACGCAATATTCTTATTTTTATTTTTTGATCTCGTTGAGTGGTGGCGTTTTGAATTTGGCTTCAATTTGGCAGTTTCTATTAAGTACGCTCGTTGTCTCGTGTAACGTGATAGACTAATAACGCTAGCAGAATCACGCTCTACACATTTTTTGTCATGGGAGAAACGCCGTGTGGTGGTTTCTCTCGTTTTTTATTAGAATAAATGCACCACTCCTATGGGTGTATAACACTAAAAATACATAAACCAAAATACATGATACAAAGTAAACATAAAATCAGTATTCGGCTTTTAGTGAAAACTAAACTGTAAAATTAGAAATTAGAAATAGTCTTTTCTTCCATATTTTTTTAACATAACTGTACATAATCGAACAGTGGTTTCTGAAAAAGCTTATCGAGTGGACATGGCCACCTGAAACCAAGTGTTAAAATTTCTAATTTCAGAATAAGTCTATCTTGATCGTAAATTAGACATATGGTCGACGCTGTGTAGGTTTTCTGTAGAGGAAAAGCAAGAAGCAGTTTCTGCCCGGTTATACATCGTCAGGTAGCTTCTAAAATTACCATGTTCAGTAAGTAGTTGAGCAGTAGCAAACGTTAAATCTCTAAGTAGTGATAAGAACCTACGTTCAACACTAAGAAAATAAAGTTTTGTTATTCTACCAATTTTACTGCTCAACTACTTTTACTGATTCCACTTTTGCATAGCGTTGTCATGAATATAATTTTAAGGCTGCTACGTGAGAGAGGGATGCGATTGTAGTCGAAATCAGTGTCCTTTGCAGCCGACTTAGCGTCAAAGTCGGCTTTTTCATTTCCTAGTATGACAGTATCCCTGTATGGCCAGAAACAAATATAAAAGTTATCTTATTTACAAGATTTTTAATATGGTGCTGGATATATGCGATTTTATTGCTATTGCACATTGAGAGACTTCTTTACAACAGATTGAGCAATACAATTTTTGAGAATATTCCGGTAGAGCAGGCTGGTTTTCGACCGAATAGGAGCTGCTCAGACCAGGTACTAGCCTTCACTACTTTTGTGGAGGCTGGATACCAAAGGCAATTAAAAACATCTGCAGTATACATCGATCTCACTGCAGCATATGATACTGTCTGGCGGCATGGCCTAATCTATAAGCTGCTTCGAGTGATACCCTGCTTAAAAATAGTTAAAATAATTGATGAGATGTTAAATAACCGACCCTTTCAAGTTGTCATGGGAAATTCGAGAAGTAGCATACGAAAACTAAATAATGGCCTACCTCAAGGCTCTGTCCTGGCACCACTGCTTTTTAGTCTTTACATAGCTGACTTGCCTCAAACAAAGGCAAGGAAATTTGGATATGCAGACGATTGGGTGATTGCCACGAGACATAAAGACCTTGCAATTACTGAAAAGATCCTGACAGAGGACTTATCAACCTTAGGACAATATTTTCGCCAGTGGAGACTTCAATTGAGTAAAACAAAAACTGAAGCTTCATGCTTTCATCTTAATAATAAGCTGGCAAATGAAGAATTAAAGGTTTACTTTGACAACAATTTATTGAAACATAATATGAACCCGAAATATCTTGGCGTCACTTTGGATAGAACTTTATCTTTTAAAACACATCTGATGAATTTAGCTGCCAAGGTTAATACCAGAAACAACATCCTCCAAAGACTATGTGGAACTACATGGGGTTCTTTGCCGTCCACCTTACGGATCTCTGCTCTTGGCTTGGTTTTCTCTGCAGCAGAATACTGTGCACCGGTATGGATGAACAGTGCTCACATTAAAAAACTGGATGCCCAACTAAATGCTACTCTACGTATCATAACAGGTACTATTAAATCAACTCCTATTCACTGGTTACCTATTTTGAGCCATATCCCTCCATCTGCACTCCGAAGGGACAGCACTTTGCTCAGGGAATATAGGAAAATATTGTCTAATCCACAACTTCCGATCCATCAGGATATTGATGACCTCAACATAAATCGACTTAAATCAAGACACCCTCCTCTTATAAGAGCTAAATCCCTGCATTCCAATAATTTCAACCTCACTGAATCTTGGAAAAGGCTCTGGGCTGATGTCTCTCCGGTGGACAGTCGACAACTTCCTTGTATCACAAAGCGACCACCTGGATTTGAGTTATCCAGAAATCTTTGGAGTGTGTTAAATAGGATTCGGACCAAACATGGGTTGTGCAGGGACAGTCTTTTTAGGTGGGGAAAAGTTGCATCCCCACAGTGTGACTGTGGTGCTGAAAGACAGACTATACATCATATCTTAGAAGATTGTCCAGTAAGATCTTTTTCGGGACAACTGAGTGACTTCTTGATTATGACTGAAAGTGCTTTAAATTATATTTCTAACTTAGATTTACATTTATGATTTGTGTTCTTACTTTTTCTGCTTTCTGTTCTTGTTAACAATTAGATGTGTAGCCATACGCTAAATAAATAAATTGCTATTGCAATTGAGATTTAATAGAGCTTTTAGGACAGATTGAGAATCACTGTACATGTTGATAGAGTTTTGTTTGGTAGTGAAGTGGCCACCTGAACAGCTTGGTAGTCAGCATCTTCTTCAGCTTGATAGACGGAGGTATGTGGGAAGTATCTGTACCTTCTAACATATTTTTGGCAAAATATGTCAGTTTGGAGGAAGATACAGGTACTTGAGCCGACAATGAGGGAGGTTTTGGACCCATCTGTGTAGATATTAATGTCTGCATGATTATCCATGGAAGAAGCGGATGACACCAAATAACCTCGTTTACAGGATGATGATTATAGATAGTAGGGTAATTGCAATGTGGTAGCGTATGAACAGCCGTAGACAGAAGTAAAAACCGTTGTTGAGCCTTGACGTTTGTAGTTCTGATGTAGTAGTTTAGAACATTTTCTACAATACATAGCGGCAAAGGAAGAAGCTCTGCTAGTATCAGAGAGGTTTGGTAAACAGTTCTGCAGCACTTTGAAATTCTGATGGCAAACTGGCTTTGAAGAGATAGTAGTTTACTTGCTACTGAATTTCTACTAGTTACATGACCACAGCCAGAGGCCGCGTAAAGTAGCATCGGTTTTATTGCCCCATTATATAGAGTTTTATAAGCTTTATTATTTAAACCCCAGGTGCACCTAGCACATTTTAGCAGCATGTAGTTTATTTTCTTGGCCTTAGCCAAAATGTTATCAATATGGCAACGGAATTCGGTTTTTCTCTATTCTCTCTTGTTTTATTTTGTATGACGTTTCTGTTTACACGTGCACTAACTAGTCGATCTGGCAAAGTTTTTTGCGTCTTTTGCGAAAATTAAAATTAATACAAAAATAAATATTATGACGTTGATTAATGATAATAATAATAATNTCACTGTTATAACCGGAATTACTCCAACGATTAAAAGAGTTTGGGTTATTTCTTGAATTTTCACAAGTATTTATCTAAAACAACACAAAAATCATTATCACACATGTTACATTTTACAGAAGAATAAGTTAAAAAAATACTTAAACCGAAACATTAAATTGCGTTTAATCGATAAATTCCTATAAAATAATAATAGTTCATCTGCATTAGTCTTGATTGTATTATAAGAATTCGTTCATTTAATTAAAATCTGGAGCATCCTCATACCAGAAAAATGACGTGAAAATGACAGCTCATAAATTATTAAACCTCAAAATACATCATATCAACCTCTCTAGTTATAAAATATTGAATTGTTTTTTTGTTAAAACGACACTGGTTAACTCAAAAGAATTTAAAATACAGAAATGTTTTTAAAAGTTTTTGTAAATTATTTTCCAATCCGATTTTTATGATATATAAAACATACAAAATATCCATTTCCACTCGTTCTTATTAACTATTAACACGTCCCCCATTGTTCCAGTTGACCATGTTTTCGTACAATCGTCGCTTCTAATTTCTTTCAAAATATTATCTTGAAATAATTTTGAGGCAGGGACGGACTGGCTATGTGGAAAATTCCACATGGGCCGTATACAATTTAGGCCGTTTTTTTCTAAATATGTACATAACGTATCGTTTGGTTAAGTTTAATTTTAAAAAATTTATTTATTTTTTTGTTAAGTAAGGTAAATTTCAATTTTTAGGTATAATGTAAGTATACTCGTATGTGTAGGCCTGTATCATTTTACTCGGCGCTACCCGTATCCGAAGTTAAATTAGTTCGGCCGATCTGAGTCAAACACTACATTAGCTCTATTCGGTTCAAATAAAAAGCATCCTAGGAGAAAAATAATCAAAACTACCTTCTAAACCAGTGTTTCTCAACGGGGGCGATATCGCTCCCATGTGGGCGTTTTTCCATGTTGAGAAGGCGATTAGTAACAATTTATATTTTGGGGGATAAAAAACAATTTTCTGGGCGGTATAGTAAAACATTATATTAAGAATAATTAGATATTTTATTCGTTATATCGTACAATAATTAAACAAATAACATTATACTGATGACTAGTCTATTCAATGCAGTATGAATCTGGTGTTAGCCTAGGAGTGAAGGGGGCGATACTACGTTGAAGGGGGCGACGCTTCGTTAGAGGTTGAAAAACGCTGTTCTAAACAGAGAAAATTGGTCATTTGTTTACATTGCTAGAAACTGTTCACCACTCCTATGAATCTTAATGGTAAACTATAGAAATGCGCGTTATTAGTTTTGTACCTAGCCACCAAAGCAATGATTGTAGTCATAACAAATTTAATGGCCACTTATATTATTTCCTTTATTTTAGGCAAGTAAAAATTGTTATTCAATAATAATTTCTCTATATTCCAAACGATTTAATTAAAAATAATATATTTTGTAGTGTGAGGCCGGGACCTCACCCCCTCTCCAACAGGAAACTGGTTGTCGAGCTAAAGCTAATAAATCGACGATTTATTTCGTAAACAGGAACGAGTGTAAGACGATTTAATTGTCGCATTCCCGGACCAAATTCATACGTCTTCGATCTAGATTAGGGAAGGTGAAAGAGAAAGCAACCGGGGAGAGTTCGACTGTCATCTTACAGCGAGTTCAAAGAACATTAGACCAAAATTTACGAGACCATCACTAAATATTCATGAAAACGCATTTAAAAAATTAAGCAGTATTTTAATACAGTTTAATCCAGTAGCTACTCAACACAATATTATTTCAGAATTGCAACATTTTAAATCGTCATGGAATATTTTAAAGGAAAATGTCAATGAAACTTTTATAAAATTAAACGAAAATGAACATTCTACTGATGATCAAGTAGAAACTAATAAAGATGCGATTATATCCTCTTACTGCATTGCTTGCAAAAATTGCTCTATTTGTTGTTATAAAATATTATTCAGATATAACATGTTAAGTGGCGCTTATTCTATACAGTACTTGGTCAAGCATACAAATATCTGCTATCTATGTCTGTAACACAAGTGTCCGGTGAACAAAGCTATTCTATGTTAAAATTAATTAAAAGCAGGCTAAGATACTTATAAGTATCTCGCAAGAAAATCTAGAAGCCTTCGTGTTAATGTTAGTGAAGAAGGATTTTTTAAACGTAATACATTCTGATAATGTCATTAATATTATTGCTCAACAAAGCAAACTTCTAAATAAAAAATTAATATTGTAGAATATAGACTTGTGCTTATTGTAATTTTTGTCAATGTTATATTTTGAATATATTTAAATATAAACAGAAAACATACATTTTTTTTTTATTTGTGGGCTGGGCTGGGAATAAATTTTCCACACAAAAATTTTAAAGCCAGTCCGCCCGTTTTGAGGGATCATTCAATAAAACTCCTTCCCTTAAAAACCTTGATAACTTTATAAATGATAGATACTATAAACAGGAAAGAAACTTACAAGAAATTCTGAAACATAATAAAATGCATAACTCGTATAAAATTTAATGAAATAAACGGACGTCCACTAAACATCCACTCCTAACCTCTTCTTCAGTTCTCCCAATACTTCACGTGGGACCATCTAATTTAAATTTGCCATGGTCCGATAGTTATAACGCGCCACGGTTTATTTGTTTCTTTTAAACATTCCAATAGGGCAATCGACTGGATTGTACCGTTTATAATTATTGATAGTAATCCATGTTAGTATTTATATCTCACTGCTGTCAATCAGCACCGTTAAATTTATTAAAATTGATCTATTTTTAATTTTCTATTATAAACATATTAGTTTACAATGGTTAAATTTTTAATAACATTTAAATTACAAATTTTCGAAAAAAAGTAAAACTAGAAAACAGTCGCGATTAATTTGCAACATTTATAACTTGAAAATATATATGTCTCTTTCAAACAAAAACTGCAAGTCAAGTGGTGAAAAGTTACTGCCTTCATTACAAAAGTATCGTTTATCTTCCCTCTCTCAACTGTGGATGGTTGACTTCACCGAATGTAGGTCAGTTTACGTCAATGTACAGTACAGTACTATCTACCTCAAATAGTGTAGACGCTTTACTCATTATTCCAACAATAATTTCAACAATGACTATAATAACCGATGTTATAAGCGATTATTTATTTACTAGCAGGTGGGCCCGACGTTGCTCGGGCAAAAGTAACGACAACAAAGATTAAGATTATTACGTTACAGTCAACCTTACCCGTTTTCACAGAATACAAGAGTTGGGTCCCCTTGTTTCCAGACTAATTAGAGAATTATTAGATGGTTCTAAAAATATGTTTAATTTCTCGCAAAAATAAGAAAAACTGCATCTGCGTCTTGCACGTCGCTTTCTCTTAACAATTCCATTGTTACGTAACACTTCCATTGTTGACACTTCCAGTGTTACTTAACACTTTTATTGTTGATGGAAGTTGATCGAAAAATCCCTTCTTAATCCTGTTCCTCTCCCCCGTGGGGAGGAATTTCGAAAAATCCCTTCTTAGGGTGCGACTATGCAGACGCGAGAAAACGAATTTTCCGAGTGAGCGAGAATATGTGGCGAGAAGAGACGAGACGCGATAAATATCAAAACCTGTCAGATATGTGCGAGAACCAGAAATTCGCTCTCGCCAGCGTTATTTCTCGCTTCTCGTTTGTTCATGGTTTTCCTTTGCGAAAACTAAATCGCTCGCAACCTCTCGCTCGCTCTAAATTCGCGTCTGCATAGTCGCACCCTTAGTGTGCGTTTTCGTCACGTACCCTAACTGTATACCAAATTTCAACTTTCAACTCCTAACCGTTTGGGCTCTGCGCTTATTATTATTATTATTAACATTATCATCAACCCGTCTCGATTATATATTAGATATATCGCCTAAAGCAGTATGCACACACGCGGCGCAGGAAGAAATACTCGGTGTCGCAAACACATCTTCGCTGCGCGGCAGCACAACCACACAAGCGGCAATCCGCTTACATTTCAGCGCATGCGTTCAGTGTTCAAGATGGCGAACGATACCGACACTGCCCCTATCCAGGTGTTTACAAATTTTGTTTTCTACGGCTTGCTTATTTAGCTAGAAGATTTTGTCGAAGATTCGAACGAAGACTTTGAATTAGAGATATTTTTTTATATCGAGAAAGAACTGGTGTACAAAACAGACTTATTCCTCGATTAAGTTCTCTCGATAAATAATACTATTTCGAGTAAGATTCGGTTTTGTTTTGTTTTTTGGATTAAATTATATATGATTATTTGTGTAGAATGTTTTTTTTTTTAAATTTGTTATCCTTTCCTCTTTATTCTGATTTAATTACCTGGATTAACTGCCTTGAACTTTCCACCATAAAAACACCACGCGGTTGTATTTTCTCACGTGACTACCAGACCAACCATTATTGGCTGACAGAAAAGCGTCTTGGCGGCGGTCGCCACAAGAGATAGAATTCAACCAACTTTTGCGGCAAGAGAAAAGCGTCATAAAATCGACTTCTGCGGCAAAAAAAGTGACGTCATTCTGCCGCTTTTACATGCCGCGCCGCATGTGTGCATCCGGCTTAACCCAAACTATTAAGTTTTGCGAGCGAATTTATGGCTGGATTCTTCTGACAAGACGCTTAGGCCTATTGGGTTAAATACAGTCAAACAATATAAAAATCGGGAAGTACAGCTGAAAACGAAAAATATAGCGATTCCTTTACATTTTGACTCCGATGATGCATTATGATGGGGATGTAGCTTTTCGCGGAGAAATCCCGACCGGACGGTCCTGAGAAAACGCGTTTAACTAGCGTTAGTCCAGATAGAAATTACCAACCGCANAGAACATTAACTTTATTGCGCCAGAAAGTTTCTGTAACCATCTTGAAAACAACAAGAATCACGTGACAACTAGCGGGAATACGATTGATGGCGAAATTTTTCTCGCTAGCTAAAACGCTCGACAGTTACGGTGCGACTATGCAGACACGAGCGAGCGAATTTTCCGAGTGAGCGAGAATATGTGGCGAGAAGAGACGAGACGCGATAAATATCAAAACCTGTCAGATATGTGCGAGAACCAGAAATTCGCTCTCGCCAGCGTTATTTCTCGCTTCTCGTTTGTTCATGGTTTTCCTTTGCGAAAACTAAATCGCTCGCAACCTCTCGCTCGCTCTAAATTCGCGTCTGCATAGTCGCACCCTTAGTGTGCGTTTTCGTCACGTACCCTAACTGTATACCAAATTTCAACTTTCAACTCCTAACCGTTTGGGCTCTGCGCTTATTATTATTATTATTAACATTATCATCAACCCGTCTCGATTATATATTAGATATATCGCCTAAAGCAGTATGCACACACGCGGCGCAGGAAGAAATACTCGGTGTCGCAAACACATCTTCGCTGCGCGGCAGCACAACCACACAAGCGGCAATCCGCTTACATTTCAGCGCATGCGTTCAGTGTTCAAGATGGCGAACGATACCGACACTGCCCCTATCCAGGTGTTTACAAATTTTGTTTTCTACGGCTTGCTTATTTAGCTAGAAGATTTTGTCGAAGATTCGAACGAAGACTTTGAATTAGAGATATTTTTTTTATATCGAGAAAGAACTGGTGTACAAAACAGACTTATTCCTCGATTAAGTTCTCTCGATAAATAATACTATTTCGAGTAAGATTCGGTTTTGTTTTGTTTTTTGGATTAAATTATATATGATTATTTGTGTAGAATGTTTTTTTTTTTAAATTTGTTATCCTTTCCTCTTTATTCTGATTTAATTACCTGGATTAACTGCCTTGAACTTTCCACCATAAAAACACCACGCGGTTGTATTTTCTCACGTGACTACCAGACCAACCATTATTGGCTGACAGAAAAGCGTCTTGGCGGCGGTCGCCACAAGAGATAGAATTCAACCAACTTTTGCGGCAAGAGAAAAGCGTCATAAAATCGACTTCTGCGGCAAAAAAAGTGACGTCATTCTGCCGCTTTTACATGCCGCGCCGCATGTGTGCATCCGGCTTAACCCAAACTATTAAGTTTTGCGAGCGAATTTATGGCTGGATTCTTCTGACAAGACGCTTAGGCCTATTGGGTTAAATACAGTCAAACAATATAAAAATCGGGAAGTACAGCTGAAAACGAAAAATATAGCGATTCCTTTACATTTTGACTCCGATGATGCATTATGATGGGGATGTAGCTTTTCGCGGAGAAATCCCGACCGGACGGTCCTGAGAAAACGCGTTTAACTAGCGTTAGTCCAGATAGAAATTACCAACCGCAGCTTAAAAAGCATTTAAACACAAACTTTAACAACCAATTAATGGCAAGAAGTCGTCCTATCACTATGCTATAGAAGAGAAGAGAGTGGAAACAAACTAATTAAACACATTGCCACTAATCCAGCGATTTTTATTAAACGCAGTTCGATAACTTTGACCTATTTTTATGTAAAAAACCAGTGCGCAATTGCAAAAAGTGTCTAAAGCATGTCGGTCAGGTTGAAATGTTAGAAAATTTCTGATTTTTTCAAATTTTTTAAAGAATTTTCAATTCTTAAGATTTTCTTACAAAAGCGCTACAAAGAGTCTAGATTATATCAAACCCAGGATTATATCATTAACCTTACTATATCTGTTATATTGAATCCTTTGTTAGTCCTCGAGATGATCCAAAAAAATTAGGAATTTTAATCAATTCTTCGTAAGTTATTGTCCCATCTCATTCCTACAGTCTAAATCTCATACGAATTATCCATTTTGATTATTCCTATTATCTACTTAATTGTATTTTTCTGTTCTTTGTAACTACAATAATTTCAGATCTGACAAAAAAACATAGCTTTTATATAATTGTTTTTATATAATTTAATATTTACAAACAACAAACCTTTGAAAGCATATGATAGTCCTTATACTTTTTTGTGCTCTTATCTGGACTACTACTTTATTCTTCTAATGACAATATTGTAATATATATAAATAATTAAACAATTTGTGTAATATATTTTAAAGTTGGATTGACAAGTGCCAGATTTTTTACTTAACCGATAGAAAACGAATACTATGACCAAACTGACAAATTTTATAGAAACTGTCAAAATGGCTTTTTTGTCCTGTCATCGAGAATGACGCGCCTATCTCGGTTCGACCATAAAGATATTCTTTCCTATTTCGTATTTTATATTTTAATATTTTAGTTCTTTTTCTCCTTCTTAAAGCAACGTCATAATCTTAGAGATACCATACTCAAGCGCCGAATGAGACTGTTGGGACTTTAATACAGCTGTAGAGCACACATATCAGTAAAAAAGACAAAGGAACCGTGTCTTTACATATGACCTTTCGCGAGACATAGGGTACTCCACGAAAATTACTCTGTGAGAAATTCGCCTCTGCTTTTTTTTCTATCTCCAAAATGCCCCACGGATGTGTATTTTACCTCAGAGAACACTACTTTTTACTCACCTCTGTATTATTATCGTTTCCATATTCTAAAGGTTCTGACTTGATTCTTACAGAAAACTTCTTATCTTCCGTTTTTAATTCTGTCTTGCAATTCTTTAATACAACAGCAAAATTTTCTTTACTCGGTTCAAAAGTAAAATCGAAATCTTTTGTATCTAACTCTTCTTTTATCTCCATTTTCTTAGTTTAGAATACTTTTGTACGTGAGCACTGTATTTAATAAAATAAACATTTTAAAAGAGTCCAGTTGAAAATTATATTTGCATAAATAAACGAATAAAGTTGTAATAATGCGAATCACTTACCTCTTGCAGTTGAACAGAGTAATATTAATCAATGTCAATTAATAAATTTTTTTATTAAGAGAAATTTAAAATTTAGTACATGTAGGGAACAAACTCAAACGTAGTGTTGTTAGTGTTATAGCACTAAACAAACGAGTAGAAGCTCGACGTTTACGTAATCGAAAGAAAGCACTTCTCCAGTCCACGTGATAATTTGTTGCTATAAAACTCACGTGTTATAAGGTAAGCAATTATTGTTTTTAAAACCGGCTTGTGAATATTTACAGCAAACGAAAATAGTTTTTCATTTCATACTTAAAATTTGTAAAATTTCTGTAATCCGTATCACAATTTAAATAAAAAGCAAATAAATTCTCTCTTGTTCGATAAAATTATTAAAATTGTTGTTAACGACAAAACCATGAAAAAGATAAATTGTTTATGAAGCTTTAACTAATTTTTCCAAGTATCCAGACAATTAAAATTTTATTGAAATAAAAACAGTATTTTTAAAGAGATGTAAAAATAAAATAATAAAATGTGTTATAAATTTCAAGTTACAGGCAATTCTACTTTTTAATATGTTTTTCGTTTTATTTTCTACATTTAAAGAGTATAAAAGGTTAATTTGAGTAAATGTGTAAGGAACCAAGTCTGTGCGTTATTTTTAGTTACTTTTATTTTTGCTTTTTATTCTATTTTTGTTTGGGGCTTATGTTTTGTTAGGACGAAGGTTTCCTCACCATTTACCTTAGAATCTTAAAAATAGAACAGAAACCAACTCACCAACGAGAGAAAAGCGCCGTAGAAAAAACTCGCGTACACTTGCGCTTCCGAGCGGAAAAATGTAAGTCCGCACCGAGAAAAGGGGGGAGATCCCACAAGCACAACTTAAGAACTTGCTAAACCTTAAAGAATAAAAACATCCCGAAAATTGTCAAAAAGAATAATGTAAAAGGTTAGCGAGTATTGTCGGAAAATAGGCTGCTAGACAAACAGAAAAAGTTTGTTAGCAAATAAGTATGTAAATGAGGGGAGTGGTCTCACTCAAAATTGTGACGTCACCTCACAGTATAAAGACCGAACCTCAAGTGAAGATTACAGAGGGACTGGGAGGTTCGTCGTGGGTTCGCGCCACGGTCGGACAGGCTGGCTGCCTGCATGCTTGGGGTTTTCTCCTTGCCAATAATGACTGAATAGGAGGCCAGTTCCCCATAACAGTCCTCCCGGAAGGCATTATTTCCCGCGCACGCGATTAGGCCGTTCAGGTACGGCTGGCTCATCGGTCGCATAGCGATCATACACAAGTCTATCGGAGAAAGAGCCTATCTGAGCTATAATATCCATATTAACACCTGCAAGAAGAAAAGAAAGAAAATAAGATTACCGAGGTGAGCTTCTGTTAGCAACGAGCGTGGTGAGCTTCGTAGCAGCAAACGAGAGAGGTGTCCGATAGGATAAAGTCGTTCCAAGGAGATTTTGAAGTTATTCGATTTTGTGAATCGAAGATTAGAGAAAGTCTTGAGAGTTGAGGAAAAGGGTTCCTAGTATATTGAGGTGACGATTAGGACCTTTAATTCATAAGAATAATTGTATATAAGTTAAGTCTTTGAATTTTTCTCGAATTCCAAAGGAGAATAGAATCAAGCTAAAAAATAATTGATTTGAGTTTTATCGGGTTGATTCTTATTGATTTACGTTCAATAAATTGTTATTTAATTTTTACTAATTTTTTTTGTATATAGTTATTACTAGAATTTCATTAAATATTCGATTGTTTTTGACTAACTTTGTCATTATTTAATTCGGTGCACGCTTAAAGTCCAGGCACGCACACTAACGCGAATCCACGTAAAGTACCCGTTAGGTAACGGCTGTTTCCGGCACAAAGTAGTGTCGATAATCGTTGTAAAAATAATATAGTACTTTACAAATGCCTCCTCTTCACTTCTTTCCGGATAATTGACAAAGTAGAGTCACAGAGACATGTACCATCACGAATACTACAATGAAGTTTTTACTGCCTGATATAATTAAAAAATAACAACATTAACAATTATGTTGGTTTGGCGTATAGTAGTCTTATACTGTTCTTATTTTCTCGTGTCTATGTCATTATATATGCGTGCAAAAGAAAAATATTGAATAAAAGCTTTTCATTATTCAGGGTAATATTTAATATAGCTAGAAAAAAGAAAAAAACGTAGAAGAAAATCGAGAATTTAGAAGTGACTGGACTGAATTGTACGCAGCTGTTGCAAATTTAATAGGATTTCCAGTGTGTTTAATATGTCAAGAAAAGTTTAATAACAAAAAATCAAATGTGCAAAGATTTTTTAAATAAACACGAAGCATTTGCAAACACTTATCGAGAGGGAGAAGAAAGAAATATGACAATAGATCTTCAAAGGAAAACGAACTTACGTTTAGGTACTGTACATTTTTAAATCGGATAAAATCATCATAATACAACTACTGCTAGTTTTGTTGCCGCTCTAGAAATAGTGAAACAGGGAATGCCGTTTACGGATGGCGATTTTATGAAAGATTGTATCTATCTATTTTGCAATTTTAAAAATAAAACAGAAAGAATTGCTAAAATAAAAACATACCAATGTCTGCCAAGACTGAAAGAGACAGAACTGTTTCTACGGCATGTTACGGATTTAAATTCAAAACCAGGATTTTATATTGCCTGTGACGAATCTTGCGATATGAATAATATTGCAAAGATTGTACTTATTTCTAGATATGTTAACTTTACGAACCTCAAAAAAAGTTACTCGATATACTGATAACTTGCAGGACAAACTCGAGCTGAGAATATAGAATTACCAACTGTTTGAAAAGTAAAAACATTGATATTCATAAAATAGTACCAATTGATGTGGAAATATGCTACCAAAATTCAGATAGGAAATTCGAGTTTACGAATATTAAGTATCGCTTAAGGAAACTTCGTGCCGAAGTTGAAAAAGTAAAAAGAAGAAATACGTGAAACAAAACTTGACGATAATCGTGTCTTGTCTGATGCCAAAGATTGCATATTAGCCGAAGCAACTTCTTTAAAATTATTTTCAAAATTCTTTGATAATGAAATATTAGAGAAAAATTGTAGATTAAACAGATAGATACTTCCAGCAAAAAACCAAAATAATGATGTTCTGTATAATTCTGCTTGACAATGTCATTATGTGAAGCAAAAACTACAACAAAATGCAAGATACGTGATGTTGGTCTGCGTAGTTTGTAAAATTCCATAGAACTTTATATGTAAAAATTTCATCAAATTTAATTTATAAATAACACAGATTAGATATAGCTAACGTAATAACCATATGCTTAATGTCCTATATATATAGAATGCCCTGCAATTGATATAAAATAATAATAAATTTTATCATAAACCTTGTCAATGCTTTTTTCTTTATTAATATTAATATATGTACAGTCAACCCACCTATAGCACTGTTGATTATTCTGTTTTATATGAATTCCATGTTGTATGAGTCACTTAGATTTTACAAATACATGTGAAGGGCTGTGAACAGCTCACGTATTTGTAAAATCTAAGTGACTCGTACAACATGGAATTCATATAAAACGGAATAATCAACAGTGTTATAGGGAGGTCGACTATACAAAACTTCAAAAAATTAACTCCAAAATTCTTTTTTGTGTGACGTTCTTGTAGAAAAACAGCGAAGACAATACCTGATAATGTAAAAACTTCGTATCAAATTTTTACAACCACGTAAAAACTTGAAAAAAACTTAAATTAAAAAATGCAAAATATGCGAAACGTCCGAACGTCTGTTCGTAAAATACAAACAGAAACGTCATAGGCGACACTCGGGTTAAACGTAGGACAAATAAATTTTGATAAAGGGGGTTGTATGTTTAAAAGCTGTACAAAGATCAACAGAAGGGACGGCTTTGTGTAACAATAATTGGCTTCCTTTTTCGATTGGCAATCAACTGTTATCCAATTTATCAGACGATTGGGAGACAAACTGATCCACAAACCGATTCTCAGAGAATGGCTCGATGCTTTTTTCGATATTGGAAAATTCAACTTCGTATTTTTCAAAAATATAATTTTTTGTGTGTTTTTTACTCCTTTAAATTGTTTTTAACCGTTTTCTTTATATTTTTCTCAATAAATGTCTGGTTGAAGTGCAATAACCAAAAAGTTTTCATTACTTTTCTCCCCTATTTTATGGAGCTTTACAGTAAATTATGTTATAAAAATTGTATTTACGTGAATTTAATCATAATTACTGTTTTCTATATTTATATATATTAACTAGAGGATAATTTGATCTAATTCATCATCTACCTTCATTAAAGAGGATTAAAGATTTGTCCAAATCGTTCATTCCTAATGCTTTCTAATTATCAATCTGTTTTGATTTTCAACCAATATCTTTAAATTTAATAATAATACTTTCATTTTTATATTGCTATTGTGTTAGATAATGAAAATAACNAGAGGGCTTGAACCTGATACAAAGTGTATAAAACTTGACAGTTTGGTGTGAAGATTTACTTTGATTTTTAATGTTATAGGCGTCAGAACCTAAAATGAAAGGCTGACGTCTGATCATTTTTAATAATGTAATTTTTACCTATTGTTAATTGTTTTTAATGAAGTGATTTCTTCAAACAAATGTAAAAGGTGTACTTCTATGGTGTGTGAAAAGGAAGAATTGATAGACTCAAAAATTAATTTTTTGTAAATAGTCTGAACTTCTAATTATAATTTGGAAGAAAAATATCCTGAGTTCATCATGCATTTGAAACTATATGCAAATTAAAGATAACTCGTATCCACCACTAGAGGGCTTGAACCTGATACAAAGTGTATAAAACTTGACAGTTTGGTGTGAAGATTTACTTTGATTTTTAATGTTATAGGCGTCAGAACCTAAAATGAAAGGCTGACGTCTGATCATTTTTAATAATGTAATTTTTACCTATTGTTAATTGTTTTTAATGAATTGATTTCTTCAAACAAATGTAAAAGGTGTACTTCTATGGTGTGTGAAAAGGAAGAATTGATAGATTCAAAAATTAATTTTTTGTAAATAGTCTGAACTTCTAATTATAATTTGGAAGAAA